ATGGAACCTCCATTGGTGCAATCTCAGTTAAATAACTCAGTGATCATTACTTTTCTACCACCTAATCATTCCTATCCTAATAGCATCAGTGGAGATTAATTTCTGTCTTATAGCATTTAAAGATGATTTGAATAGCTGTGTAACAACTCGGTCGATAACCTTCAGTCTTTGTCTTTCTGTCCCTGCCTTATCTGTTTTCTATTTCTTCTTCCACGGTGAAGCCTGGCTGTCTAATTCAGTGGTGTGATCAGAGGTCATAACTTGAAATTCAGAACAGAGAGACATTAGCATTCCCAAATCTCACACTATGACCAAGCCATCTGCTTCCCTTGCCCTCTGTCTGCTCCTCAGCTTTGCACATCCACACATATGCACACAGTTTAAGACATACATGTACAAGGGGAGTGTCCCAGGATAATTTAAGGCTTTGTCTTACTGTAGCTGAAGTAGTTATTCAAACAGACCTGAATAGGTCTGTCTGTGAAGACAAGTGGCCCCAAGTGCAGCAGAGAACAAACAAATGGGATACTGTAGGCAGGTCGGCTCATATGCTGCTGTTACTGCTGCCTGTGTGTGCGTATATGTGTGTGTCGAGCCTCTTTTAGTGCTGAAGGTTGCAGCTTGAGTCAGTGCCTGTATTTCAAACATTTGTGTGGGAGACAGATACTTGGTGAGCGTGCAGGTGTGGATAAATAAGTGTACAGTGATGGAGCCAGCTGGATTTTGATTTCTTTGTGCAGCAGGCACTCATTTGTTTTCTTATCCATTGCATTTCTATTCAGATATTCTATTCCCGTGGGGCTGGAACATTTCCCTGCATGCATTAAGTAAAAGACACAGAAAACAGCTTGTCCAGGAGAGACTAATATAGTTAAAGTCTTTCAAGTTCAAATAGGCGGACATGTGCAATTTAGAGGTCAGACACAGTCACAGCGTTTCTCTGAAGGGCTAACACAAAGCACCGTGCAATCATGCATACAAGCTGTGTAGCAGCAACTTCTTTGCAGCTCGTCGAAGTAGAAAATCGCAGAAGACCAAAAAGAGAATTAATTCACAGTGAGTCAATCCAAACCATTTTCAGCTCTTATGAAAAAAGGCTGACTGCATTCCTGTACATTGCCCCAAACTTAACAGCTAACTTTGAGCTACACTTCCCATTTAAAGTTTCACAAACTGCAAAGACTACCCCTGAGGGCGAGCTGACAGAGTATAATCGCATACATTCAGCGCTTGCAGAAAAGTATTAGTCACTAGTCTGAATTTACCTCCTGAAAGTATCGCTGCAGAGAAGTAAAGAAGATAAACTCCTTCGTGATTTTCATGCCACTTTGAATGTAGGTAATCTCATCTCGAGAATGTGTCTGAAAAATAATAGCAACTGGCGCTTGTCTTATTATGACTGTCAAAGAGGAATGGAGAAAGTCGAGATGAAAAACACTGAAAAAACCTGCACTGAACGGACGTCACTGATGCAATGAGACGGTGAGACAGGACCCCGCCCCCTTCCTTACTGAGTGCTTCCTTTGGCAGTTCAGCATCAGCAGCCGCTGTCTTGAGCTGACAAGAGCTACCTGCGTGCCCACACATAGCCTGATAACATCTGACTACCAACTCCTAGCCTAGAGCATGAGAGCCCGATATTTTCAAAACTTGATAATGACGCTAAACTTGATAGAGGTAACCACACACACTCAAGGGGAAAACACAAAATGCAGCATGCAGCTGACAATGTTCCTTTATCTGGTTAAAAATGTTTGATATTTTACTCTGTTGGAGGATTGTTTTAACAGCTTATGTCTCGTTAGCTGTTTGACAGCTGCTGTTTCCAATTAAGGCATTTCAGTCATAATAATGCTAGTTATAGTTTTCTGAGTTTTTCTCATTTCACTCTAATACAAGCTGCTGTAGCTCAGTTCACAGAATTTTGATGGCCTACATTTGGATATTTGGCTTATCACTGACAAAATGCTTGCATCATACGTAGGCATATTGAATTTCAGGATCCCACACTGTTCCCATTCTTCCTGCTGATGCCTCATGTCTTATAGCCGGAGTCTGCTTCTGTTTCCTGCAGAGCTTGGTTTTTTTGGTTGGCAGCATAATGAAACATAGCTGCTGTTTTTCTTGTTAGGAGTGCACCACATTTCAGTACAGAAATTACTGTTGTGTTAGTGTCTTGGGCCGAGAGAATGTTCTGGGTGCAAACCTTTTGGTGAGCTCTATGTATGTTTGCATTTTTTTAAAACTCCAAAGGTTTTCTCGCACAGTTTAAAGACATGTAGCTTAGTTTTATGTGATCGGCCGTAGGTGTGTATATGAGACTGTTTGGTGTCTGTGTTAGTCCCAGGCTGTACCCTGCCTCTCTCCCACTCACAGCTGGTATAGACTCCAGGTCTCCTGCGACCCTAAATTGGAAAAGCTCTTAAGATAATAGATGGATGGATGTTTGTGCTTATAAAAGTGGGAAATGTGGGTGGATTAGTAGATAACCAAAACATCAACAAACCAAAAGAAAAAAGTAAGCGCCAACTGACTTTTTACCCGTGTAAAAGCACAGATGGATTGTGTGCCGTGATTTATTCTAAAATTACAAAACAGGTGAGACACATCCCTTGTGAGTGTTGTTATTATGGCATTATCATTCAAGTACAAATTCATGCAAAGTGAATAAACACAGTCAAATCCCAAATACATGCCACACAAAGCTGATTTGGGAAAAGCCACCTGGCTAGGGACTTACCGGATTTCCAGAATTACATGGCAATTGTATTGGCGCTGGGGTGTAAATAATCAAAAAATGTGATGTGAACAGTCAGGCAACACCACATGAGGAACAGGTGAGGTTTTTTTGTGAATCTAGGAAGCCAAGAGGAGGTCAGAGGGTATCAGCCCCCAGGGGATGCAGTTACCCATAGTTACCGATCCTTCCCCCCAGCTCTGGGGATTTGTATGAGGCGTGGCTGAGCTCCAACAGGATGATGCTGGGTTACAATGTGAAGAAAGAGGGAGGGTGGAGTCACAGAGGTGCATGCTGTGGAGCAGCTGGTGGGGGATGGGAGGAGCGAGGAGCAGAGGCGGAGGGAGGACTGTTGTTACAACAGATCGTAGTGCTATTGTACAGCAGACACCAACCTCAGGATACCAGGTAAGAGATATGAACAATACATGGTTTATAATACGTTGAACAGGTGAAGGTTTTAATAGAAATCACTGCCAATAGAACAGAAGGAAAATCTTTTGACGTGTCGTGTCATGTACAGTGATGCCTCATTAGGTGATGGTGTTGCTGTGTTTCATCAGGTGTGTCCATGTCTCTGCACTTCCAGAAACTCGGTGAGCAGAAACCTTCATGTTAGCGATGTCATTAGAGTCCGGTACATATGTACATATCTCTGTGTGCACATTTAATCTGACTCCCTTGAACAATCGCTCGTGTGTGTTTCTGTGTGCGTTCCCGCCTGTGTTTTGTGCCAGGTTGTGCAGAGCTAATTAACCAGTTTAATCGCTGGTGATGGAAAAATGTTATTATGGCGAGTGAGAATGAGGGAAAGTCGTAGCAACAGCCCTCTGAGGGAAGTTGTTTATGGCAGCTGGATGGCACAATAGAGTAAGGGTGGTGGCAAAATGGATGGCAGTGCACAAAGGATGCATCTAACAGAAAAGTACACAAGAGCTGAACTTTTTCAGTTGGATGTTGGGATTCAGTGCAGCAAATATATCTTCATAGGGCCCTTGTGATTTGTTAATGTGCTCTATAAATAAAGGTTGTTGTTGTTTGTGCATTTATATCATACTATGTTCTTGTTTTGGAGCTATGTGTTTGTTCTTCGCTTGTTACAGTTGTGTTTGGTTGTTCTTAGTTCTTAACTATAATCTGTGCAAACTAGCCTCTTTTTCTTTGACTGGATTGTCTGAGACAGTGCATGCATATTTTGGTTATTCAGTCTTTTCATAGTCCTTTTATTCAATCTTTTTGTATTTTAGAGAGTGGCATATGTAATGTTTACAGCAGTGGGTTTTAGTAATGGTGTCTCATTAATAACTATTTTCATAAAAGTGACATCTACTGTTTGATCTTCGCAGCTGAAAGTACAAAAAGTGCCACCAAATACTGGCTTCAAAGAAACCTCCTTACCAAGAACCTTTTTCACAACTTCTGTTAACCATCTATAAATCATGAAGAAGAGGGCTTACATTCTTTGAATACAAAGGCCCTAAAGTGAAAAATACATCATAAACTTGGACCGTTGCTCTAAGACACAGCATGACACTGACACACTAATGCCTTTTTCAGTAATTCCTCTTGATTTCTCATTTTCATTTTCGATTCCAAAGGGAAAAATGGTCATTCATATGCGAACAAAAATCTTTCATCATTCTTTTAGAGAACAGAGACAATTTGTTGTTTCTCTGTCTGCCCTGCGTAAACAGATCTTCCATAGGAGCAGCTTTTACCGTGTCCCCACATTGAGTATTCCCGGCGAGTAATCTTCAGAAGGATCAATAAGTGTCTTGATTGACTGATCATCTGCACTGGTATCTGTGCACATGTTCAGCACCTATGTGGAGATGACCTTGATTTAACTATTGATTCTTTGTCTGGCATTGTCCCATTAGGTTTATGTGCAGGCGGTATGCCCAGAAAGGCTCTGTTCTTTGTGTTTATGGTTATAAAACAGCCTGAGCAACATGTCAAAACCACTGTTGTGAATTTGGAGTTTGAAATTTGAAGTAAGCACCAAAGTGTTCTTTAGACTGTACACTGTAAATAAACCATGTCTTATTTAATTACAAGAATATATTGGAGTCCCAGAATGTGTTTGTTTGCACATGGGTCTGTTTGATAAGAGGAATCTGTTTATAGAAATTACATTTTATGGATTTGTCCTAAAACCTTATAATTATACCAGCTTTGGCCTTGTAGATGTGAACAATCATGTAATGCATCTGAATTTTAAGACATTCTGAAGTCTTTCTCCTGTTTTTCCTCTGTCACGTAGGGTAAAACCCACAACAATGCATGGCCTGTAAGCCGCCAACCATGGCTCAAAGGAAGAGGCCAGGGACCAGTGGAGGAAATAGTATGGCTGCCCCAGGTCCCGCCTCCTGTCCTACCACCCACGCTACAGAGTCATGTGATCTGAAAGCAGTAGCGGCGCGGCAACGCCCACACCGCTACCCCAAAGAATCGCGTGAGCCGAAACCTCTCCCTCTCCCTCACTCCTGCAAGGCACAATATTCTTCTCCCAAGTCTCAAGACACGGGGCGCAGTCATCCAGAAGCGGATGCAGATCAGGAGGAGGAAGTGAAGCGGTACAGCAACCACGAACCAGACGCAGAACTTCAGGATCAGCGTCCAGCAACACCATCCACGCCGGAACATAACCACGACCGAGATGACCCTAACCAGGGGGACTTCCACGGTGGAGCCGACAGCCTGGATGATGATTCCAGCTCTGATTATATAAACAACACCTCAGATGATGATGACTATGATGACGGTAAGTGTGTACATGGTCAACTTTTCTGTTTTACCTTTTATTTTTATAATCTTTTTTATAATATTTTAATATCCATTATTATTAATTCAGCTAATTGGCACAATATTTGCAGTACTGATTTTTTTATTGGTTCTACAAATCAAAGGAAAACCCATAAATAACATTTTGTAGCTACCAAAGTTTGTCCTTTAAATAGAAATTGAGCCTGCTCATGCTTAGTAACTGTTTGCGATTTAGACATCAGTAAGCTAAAGTATGCATACAACTTATAGAATTATAGTGATAATTATATTAGTGAAGAAGCTCCAAATATAAGGACCACAACTTAATGTGATTATAAAACTTCTTCAGGGTTGGCAGAGGAGGATGAAGGTGTTACTTACTACATCCGCTACTGCCCAGAGGATGACAGCTACCTGGAGGGCATGGACTGCAACAACCAGGGAGACTGCAACCACAGCCACAGCCGGGGGGACTGCACCAGCACCATGCAGCTCGGCGGGTCCCACACTGATGAATGCCAGGAAGCTGTGGAGGGCTGGACTGAAGAGGGGGAGGGGCAAGCGAGAGAAGAAGAATGGGTGGAAGATGAGGAGGGGGAAGGGGCAGCGAGGGAAGAGTGGAGAGAAGAGGAGGAAGAGGTGAGGGAAGAGTGGAGAGAAGAGGAGGAAGGGGTGAGGAAAGAGTGGAGACAGGGAGATGAGGAGCCGCGAGAGGAATGGAGGGAGGAGTGCCAGGCCAGGCAGGAGCAGTGGGCGGGTCGTGAGAGGCACCGAGTGGAGGAGTGGGGTGAGGGAGAGGGAGAGGTCCGCTGTGAGGTGGTGGAGCAAGATCCCGATGAGCAGATATACAACGGACGACCGGAGCCCATCCTGGACCATCACCACCACCATCATCACCACCACCAGCCTGCCACGCAGGATGCCGCACACACCCGAAGGGCTGACAGAGAAGAAGAGGAGGCGGAGAGCGAGGACTACTGCCCTAACGAGGATGAAGAAGAGGAAGGCGAGGAGGAGGAGAGAAATGGAAGGGCCTACACCGGAGACTACTACGCCCCTGAAGACAATGGGAACTCGGTGCGAGTCTCTCCCTACCGAAGCCGTAAAGTGCTGGTGGTTGAGGGGGAAACAGGGGAGGAAGCTGAGGAGGACATTGATCAAATTGTTGCTGAGATTAAGATGAGTATGAGCATGGGGAGTCTCAGCAGTGGCACAGACCAAAGCCCGGAAGAGCTGGCACAGGACCCCGCACCAAGTGACTACCCTCACTCCAAGCCCGACGCAGCACCTTACCCTCCACCTCACCACCGACACGACAGTAGGCCCAAGTCCCTCAACCTCCCCTCCATGCACCACAACAACCCTGATCTCCAGCGGGGCCACAAGACGCATCCACGCTCACCTGATGACAGGCAGAGATGGCCCCAAGAGCAGGTGAGCTGAAGAGTATTGCTGTTGTATTATATTTATATTTAATCCCTGAACCGAATGAGTTCAGGGCCTCATCTTCAAAGTAATTTATTGTACAGAACAACAGAAAAACTAAAGATATGAGCCACACATTATCAAGCTACAACGATTTAATTATATAGCCCGAAGTAACTGTGTTTACATGATTTCATTCCCTTGTTCAAGAAGAAGGCTTAGTTTGTTTTTACATAAATACACTGTTGGGTCTGTGTTTCCACAAACCCCGCTAATTCTAGAGACTTATTCATCATGAAGAAAACAAGACAGTCGATCGATCGATTATTTGCGCAAGGGAGGCCTCGTCTGTGTCCACCACGAAAATGACCCCCAGATCTGACCTCCTCCTGCTACCTTTTATTGAGAGACAGTTCACACAAAACACGTCAGAACAAAGCCACGCCCCCTTGGTTCTAAGACAAAGCATTTTATGTATATGTGTGAACTTCTGTAAGATGGTTGTGTGTGTGTGTGTGTGTGTGTGTGTGTGTGTGTGTGTGTGTGTGTGTGTGTGTGTGCAGACCTCCTGCTGACCAAAGGGTCGTAAACCCAGGAAGCTTACATCAAAAGAAACAGATCTTTCAGATAGGATGTATCTACAATAAAACCTCCCCCAGCACAGAGTGGTTGGAGAGGTGGTCAGGATCAAAGGAATGGCTTTGATCCTACTGCTTGAACTAAGACTGTACAAATTTAAGAAACACAATGGCAACATTCAACAATTAGACTTACACTAGAACTAGAGGAAGTCCACAGTCTATATAAATGTACCCCCTTAGGGTTAATTATTGGACCTCAAGGTAACTGTATGTACCTTCTTAATGGCCAAAAAGGTGTGTACATGTTCCCAAGCAGTAAAAAAAGACCATATTTGCACCGTTTCTCTGAGATTTTGAGGTGCAACCCCAGGAGATTTGCCTTTGTTGGGCCAAACGCAAAAAGAAATTGGGCAAAATACAAATTTTACTCTTTGGTTTTAAGCTTTTATTGTTTCTTTGTTGATCTAACTTACATGAAAACACATTATTTTATGAGGAAAAATTGAATAATAATCATGCCGACACCCCGGGGTTAATAAACTTGAGCCAAAGCCTCCTCATGATGATTACGCCGACAAATTTGACTTATTTCCTGTATGTTTTTCTTTTCTTTTAATGAGTTCTATAAGGAAAAATATTGTTCCAGTGAGTTGTTGCATTTTCATTTTCATTCTCAGTTCCTAAAATGTTTTGTATTACTCATACCTTTAGGTTTTAGTTTCCTTTTAGGTGCCATAGTACATGATAAGCTTGGCAATGCCCCAGTAACAAACCAATGTACCAGTAAAGCAACAACAGGATACTTTATTTTTATAAGCATGCATATATTAAAAAATATCAGTGTTTAAATTCCTTTACTTTCTTAATTTGGTCTTTTTCATGATCTGTTCTTATGGGCATTAGAAGAAGACATCACAGGGTATTTTCATTTCATGTTTATAGAGTTTGGAAAAAAGCATGAAGGTGCATTACTTCTTGGTCCAGAGGTACGTGTATAGATTGCCCTCCAAGTATAAATAAGCAAAAAAGAATAAATACCGATAAAAAAATCACATGAATGACAAAAGGTTCCATTTCAACCTAATTCAGAACCTGTTTAACCTGTTTCATTTTACGACTAGTTAAACTGTCTGCTGTACGCTGTTCACTGAAGTCAAGGCTATAAGAGAAAAACAGAACATGAGAGGACATGAATGTAAGCCCCTGCACAGTATATTCTGGCCATATACAACAGACCCTTGCCACTGGATGTGATTTAAAGAGATTTGTGGTGATAAGAAGGAGATGAGTTACAGGTGACATGTTTGTCATTACCACCCAGAAAATAACAGGAGTGTCACCCCTCCCCCGCATTACCTTGAGATGTCCCCCTCCTCATCTCTCTGCTTCTCACGGATCTTGATTAATGCACACATGCTGTACATGCACGCTGATAGATTCGAACACACGCAGAGCCCCTCCACCCTCTAAAAGTCAGATGGTAAAAGGAGAACAGGGATAGTCTCCTGTGGGCAGCATGCTGATACCCACCTGCTCCACGGTGTGCACGAGCGCTGGTACATTCACTGCATACATGTAGCTCATTTGTAGCACAGAAGTGGGTCAGGCATTGTAGTGGCTTGATGAAATTGAAACGCACACACACACACACACACACACAAAAAAAAAACAGTTAAGTGCAGATGGAGATGACTCCCAGGCTCACTGAGATAATTCGGTCATTTTGTTCTCTCTTATTCAAAGAAATGTTCTCTGTGCACCACTTCAGAATGACCCTAAACTAGACCGGGACAACAGTGAATTTAAAAAAAGATGTGTTTTGCACAATGTGGAGCCAAAAGATCATGTTAACTGAAGAGTTACAAGACTGTTCAGGGAGGTCATCTACACACAAATACAAGTATACACAAAACGATGCTGTGCTGATGTGTTTTCAGCTTTGACATTTTGCAAACAGAATTTCTCACAATAACCTTTCTCAGTTACTTTTCTTTTTACTTGCTTAAAATTTATTCTGGGCTCTTTTTCCTACCGTAAAGCAATCCAGTTGGGTTTTTTAGAGCTTGGTGTTTGATTCACTAAAAGAAGCCATTTTCACATTAATAATGGTGCGATTTTAGCAGAGTTTATTTAGGTGGATCCAAAGCTTTTCTTAAAAAGGCCAGTGTTTAAAGACTATGCTTGTACACAAGTAGTATTGCAATTAGCTATATTTTAAATGTGTTCTCTATGTGTTCTCTCATTTTCAGTCATAAATACAAAGCCAACCTAAAACAGTCAAAACGCTTTGTAAGTAAATAAAAATAAAACATAAGAAAATAATTACAAAATCTCATAAGTCTAGATTTTATTCACAATACAACACAGAAAAAAATGTCAAATGTTTAAACATTTTAATATTTCAGCAAAAATATTGGCTTATTTTTAATTTGATGTCAACAACACACCTAAAAAGGTTTGGACATGGCCACGTTTCCATCTGTGTAGGTGACCAGTGTCTGGATTTTTGGGAGAGGAATGTTGTCCCATTTTTGTCTGATATAGGATTCTAGTTGTTCAACAGTCCTGGCTCTTCTTTGTAGTATTTTTCATTTCATTATGCTTCAAATGTTTGTGTTGATGAAACATCTGGAGTGAAAGCAGGCCATTTCATTCTGGACTCTTCTACTACAAAGCCTTGCTGTTCTTATAGCTGGAGTACATGTTTTGCATTGTCTTGATAAAACATTTAAGGGTTTTCCTGGAAAAAAAACACCATGTTGCTCTAAAACCGAGCGCTGATAACAAGCCTGATGGAGCCTCTCCTCTTCGCTCTGCAGGACTTGGAGTCCATGTATTGTAAATGAATTTCAAATTTGGATTCAGCGGACTACAAAACAGTTTTCCACTTTGCCTCAGTCCATTTTAAATGGGCCTTGGCCCAGAAGATGGTGATATTTCTGGATCATATTCACAGATGGCTTCTTCTTTGCACCATAGAGCTTTAACCTCCATTTGTGGATGGCACATTGAACTGTGTTAACAGACAGAGATTTATGGAAGTCTTCCTGAGCCCATGCAGTGTTTTCCATGACAGAATCAGGCCTGTTTTTAATGCAGTGCTGCCTGATTTTGATTTTTTTTAGCCTTTTGTTTCCCAATCCCAAGTTTTTTGATAGTTGTTGCTGTCAGCAAGTTCATGAAATAGTGAAATGTCTCACAAGTTTTTTTTTGGTGGTTCTGTGGCAAATTCTCGTATCTCAAATCCAGGGTGTTAAATATTGAAATCCCAGTTTTTTCTGCTGTTGTCTCTTTATAATGTCAGATATAGCAGATATTCTCAATATGGTAATAAGACAAATGCCCCTGTCTAAGCACAGAAAATGCAACTAATGTGCAAACCTTCTGTGTGGCAGCCAATCAGAAGATCTGCATGGAGCAACATTAGATAAATAAATTAGAACTAGAACTAATCTAGTAACAAAAATATGGAGCTGGACATCACAGAGAGACTACTTGAAATGCTTTTTACATTTTATTTTATGTGCGTGCCATTATGTGTTAATCTGATGAGCATTCATCACAGCCTGATAAAGGTAATTATCGCTGAAGACAGCTGAGTGATATGTTGCTTCTAGCTGAAGATACTTTATAGAAAAGTAGCGGATGTCTCCTAATTTTAGTTCAGACTTGAGGGTGATTGGATAAGTGAGTCCTGTCTTGTACATATGCACACATTAGCAGAAGCTGCCAATCATTTGGTGTGTGTCTTGTGAATGCTGTTTGCACCGATGATTGAAGCAGTGCTGATTTATTGATGGTTCAGTTGCACATAAAGGCTATTTGTAAAATGTACAGTGGGCTGGATTCACTTGGGATGCTGCTCATAAATGTAGTTTTGTAGACCATCACAGTTTGGCATTCCATCCCTCCCAACAACAACATGAATCTCATCAATTTAATGGTTGTTTGCACAACTGAGTTGGGCGGCACAGTGAATACTGATTAGAACTTTATGTCTGCTTTTCTGTTCGCAAAGGAGGCTATGCAGCTGCATGACAGCATGGGCTTTTCCTCTGAATTTCACATTTCTTTACTGCTTTGCTGTGGAGGAGGAGTGGGGGGGATTTCTTGGAAGGAGGATTTTATTTGCGCCACTAATACAATTAAATGTTAATGAGCCATTGTGGACTGCAAAATGGGCATCCAGGGGAATGAAAGGGTGTTTTCCATCCTACTAAGTTATGGTTCTGGCTATACCGACTGCTGCACTGGATAATTGAAAGACGCATGCCATCATCTATGATGCTCCAGTTTTTGAACATGTCTGAGAACAGAAAAAGACTAATTTTCATTCATAAAGTTTAAATACCTGTGGTCAACCATCCACAGAAATGGACAGTGCACAAGAGAGATGGAAAAGAGAGAGCAGGCAGGGTGGAGTAGGTGGATTCAAGTTTCAGGGTGATTTGTGATGGAAGGATAGCTGCAAGCGTGAAAGCGAAGGTTTTATCAGATTGTAGTGAGACCTGCTGTGATGTATGGTTTGGAGACATTGGCACTGATAAAGTGATAGGAGGCAGATTTGGAGTGGGCCGAGCTGAATGAAGACCCACAGGACCTAAGGAGAGGATTAGAAATAAGTACATCAGAGGGACCGCTCAGGGTGAGCGGTTTGGAGACAAAGTTAGAGAGGCAAGGCTGAGATGGTTTGGACATGAGCTGAGGAGGAATATTGGATATACTGGACAGTTGAATATGGAGCTGCCAGGCAGGAGGGATAGAGGAAGACCACAGGGAAGACTCATGGATGTAGTGAAGGAGGGCATGCAGAGGGTTGGTGTGACAGAGGAGGATGCTAAGGATACGATGAGATGGAGGCAGATGATCCTAAAACGAGTAGCCGAAAGGAGAAGAAGAAGAAGAATACTGAATGTGATGATAGACTCTAAATGATTAATCCATCATTAAAATATGAAATACATTTAAAATATGCATCTGTGTGGCATCTATTGGATGTATTGTGTAATTGACAAAAGAGCAGACTGTTAAAAGACCAAACTGAACTATATTCCAGTGGTTTGAACCGATACTGCTTGTTTTCGTAACCTCTTAAGCCCCAAGCCTAACTGATCTCCTGCCTTTTGCCCCCGCATCAGGGGGCGTTGGGGCTTAATTTCAGTAGTATTTGTGGTTTAAAACTTCAAACAAGTACACAAAAAGAGACTTGGATACAGCATTTTGACTCACCTTGTTGGTTACAGTGCTGGCTACACATTAAAAACCTCCGTTTCCTGCACATTGTAATTTCCTTGCACCTGTTCTTCTGTGTTGGCATGCCAGGTGAGCAATGGCGCAGAGCAACCCAGAAAACAGCAGCGGTCCGACCTCAACGTCCCCCTGGAGAACAACAACGTACCAGAGGTAAGACGTTCTCTGGATATCCTGTCGCAGCGTTTCCTTCTTTGTCATTTATCTACCCCGAGGTTGTTTGCACAGGATATATTGTTGTTTATGTGTGCGTGCATCCATATGGTTATGTTTGTGCGTGCATGTGTGTGTGTGTGACCATTTAAGTAAATGAGTAATTGTGTAATTACAACCTCAGCTCATGTCCTCTGCTTTCGGCATGATAGCATCCTGATAATTGACTAGCATTCTGCTTGTGGTTTTATGAGAGCCATTTCTCATCGAGACGTCTGCGGTGGGAGGATGCCCCCGTTCCACCCTCCCAACGCCCTCCCTCCACCCTTACTTCCTTGTCCTTGAGGGGAGCAGAATCTCTGAATATGGAGGGAAGGCTCAGTAGTATCACCAGGATCAGTGTTTGAATCTCATGAATCTCCCTGTGGCCATCTAAAGCTTCCTCATCCCTCGTGGATACGATATCTCTTTGCAGTCGGGCTTTTCCGGCTTCCATAGTGCTTTTTAGCAAGTCAGGCACGTGGAGATTCTGGAGCTGCAAGGTTTAAATGCTTTTATCTGTGTCAGTGTTCATTTTGACAGCAAATTCTGATTTAGCTTTAGTCATAGTCTTGTGACTAAAATGTCGTGCAGCTGTAGTCATAATTTAGGCATCTAAGTTCTTTTACTTTCAGTCTAGTTTTATTTGACTAAATGTCATAATTATAATAGACTAAAACTTCAGTTTGCCATGCTATTACTGGTGAGAGTTGCTCCACATGGTTTACTAATCATATTATTTTCCTTGACATCAAACGCAAAGGGTGTCTGTATGTTTGGAGAAGAGGAACTCGTTGTACTGTTCCCCAGCGGCAGATCAAATGTTCACATTTAACCTTACCGCACAAGGATCTTACTTCTGATTGGATCACTTCCCAACTCGTCCCGCCTTTCTGCACAACTTAATTAGTTCTGATTGGATCTCGTCTCTGCAGGACATTTTCATCTCGTTTTTGTTTGTTGATGATTGTGTAAATACATTTAATCATAGTTTTTGTCTATGAAAGGAATAATTCTGTAAATTTGGCGTCACTGGTCTTTCAACTATTGTGAAAGCCTTGTTTTGCTAGTGTGTCTTTCATGATGGCATATTTGAAGTCAAGTTTATTTAAAGAATTTGAAGTTTAGCACGTTTATTTTGAAACAGCAGAGAAGTACAGTATGTAATTCACTGTAAGTCTATTCATAACATTTATCTGCTATTACCTGTTTCTGTCTTCCAGCCTACAAAGAAGGTCGCATCCTTCCCCAGCTTTGTCGATGGTAAGTTCATCTGCACATCTGTTTGGTGGTGAAATTCAAATTTTGGAATAAAAACCAAGTAATCACAATAAGTTACAGTACTTCCCTGCCTTTGGGCATGATCTAGGGCTAACAGTATGTTTTAAAAGGCTTTAGTTGCCATCAGATCATGGTGGCACATTGTGCTCCAAAGTGGGTGTCTGAGAGTCCACATCTAGATATCACAGGATATCACAGATGCAGATTAATCACAGCTCCTGTTAGCACTGCACCTCCATTAGCTCACAGCCGGTGGCCATTTCACTGCTGAGGCCTATCCAGCCGTTTATCACTATATCTCCAGTGTTTGGCTTCTTTTTCTTCACGCAGCACACTGACTACAGTAATTAAAATACCTTCTCCGCTGCACGCTCCACCCTTTCAGTCTAAACATGCTTTGTCTTTCCCTTTGTCTCCCTCTTAATCACCATCCTCTCTGCCTCTCCCTGGCTCAGTCCCAGGACCCTGTGAGCCAGAAGACCTGATTGATGGGATTATCTTTGCTGCTAACTACCTGGGCTCCACTCAGCTGCTGTCTGAGAGGAACCCCTCCAAGAACATCCGAATGATGCAGGCCCAGGAGGCCGTCAGCAGGGTCAAGGTACTCAAAAACACCCACTCGTGCACCGATTCACATACGAAGACACAGTTACCGCTGCATTTCTGAGTCATACAGACAATCACACTTCCTTGTGCTTTCACAATATAGGTGTCACAATATACTGGTGATAGTAAATAATATGAAACAGCAATATCATGTCAGAAACACGGATATGACAACATGGTGATAACAACCCAGTGGCAGCACAGCCATGATTCAGCTCAAGAGTCAAGTTTATTGCAACTCTCCAGTTTAATCTGTGCTCACCTACACAGGTGGAGTCAGGCTGTTGTTGGGTTGTTAAGTGAAGCAGTTGGAGATGAGCAGGCTGGACTTAAATTCTTAATTTAATTACCAATTTGTTGTCTGCCCTTGTTACTGCTTTTCCTTGCTTTCTTAATACTAGCCTCTTAAAATGTGCAACTGTGCCCTGCGCCTTGTGCTCTGCACTTTCCAGCTGGCCCGATTGAGTTACAAGAGTTTGCTGCTCTGTTCTAGCTGTGCAAACTGAGCACTGCACATGTCAGTGACATTTGGTCAGGCTGGTTTAGGCTTGTTATTTGCCTTATTAGAGACAACAGAATAATCTTTTCAGATGTTCCGAAGACATTTACACAGTTTGTTGCTTCTGTTAGATTACTAATGGCTTTATCCTTTTTTTTCTCCTTTTTTTTTAAAAAGATTGCAACTCACCTCCACTCTGCACCCACATGGTTCACATAGCCTCTGTGTCAGATCCACCAAGCACAGCAATAAATAGAGCTAAGTGTGCTAAGGTATGCTGAGGAGAGGACACAGAGGGAGACAGAGTGAACCGATAGCAAGGCTTAAGAGGGCTATATATACACGGAGAATTGATTGAATGATGAGACGTACGTGGAAAACTCTGGGGATAATGCGGACGATCACAAAGGAGTAAAAATGCAGCTGTCAAAGTTAAATAGAAAGTAAAAAAAGACACGAATCATTGTAACAGAAGGCAGAGGAAGGAAATAACAAAGAGCAAATAAGTTCTCACAGAAACCACAGGGACCATTTTCATTTCTTTTTTTCTTTATTTTTTGCAATATTTCCTATGGCTAACATAATTATGTAGGGAAAATCTCACATCGTGACAGCCCTAACAACATTAAAGACTAATTTTGGTTGCAAAGTGTTTTTCCTCTGGTTCCATAATGCTTTGTAGTCCCTAATTGAGTCTGAAGAACTGTGAATATCAGAGCCAGCTGGGTCGGTCATGGGTTGTAATTTACAGCTGCCCTGTTGGGTAGTCAGCCACATCATTTGTAACTTCAACAAATATTGATGATGAGAAGTAGCACTAGTAGCAGCAGTGAGGTTGCGGTAGTCCCAAGTCACCAGGAAGTACTGCCGGTGATCCTAAGTATCTGGAAATATGTATTAGTTGAATAAACAGTTCCTCCAGTAGGAAGCTGCTGAGAGGCCGTTCCCTTCGGACGGAGCTTTTTATTCAGTGACGGTTCTCTAATTTCTAACAGATGTGCCATCATTCTGTTGTTGTTTAAGCAGCACCAGAAACATTCAAATGTACCTAAAGACATATAAAAGGACATAGAAGCCTTACAGGAACACTCAGTGGCATTACATGACTAATACAGAGAGTGTATTCCTGATACAGTGTCCTTTTTCACATTACTGTACATGCATAGAATGGGAAAACACAAACAAACTCCTGGTACTGCAGAATATTCTGTTATATTTAGTCATTTATAACAGCTATGACATTATTTCTTAACTCATACCCACAAACTTCCAAATGAAATATACAGTACATGGATATTAATTATTTTTTCTAAGCAGTATAGTCATGTATTAAGCATCAGTGGTCTTTTAGGGCAGCTGAAAAACTTGGCCAGATTAGACTTCAGGGCACGTGTGTTCGTCACAGCCGACTGGATAATGGGGCTTCTGGCATGTGAGCCTCCCTGCTGTTCACTAATATCATTACAAAAATGATGTTTCAGAAAAGTGCTGTGGATGGTGCTAGTGCAGCTCAAAGAGGCTCATTTGATGTTAGTTTGGAGAAGCTTTTCATCACTGTCCAGAGCTCTTGTGATAAAACATCTCTTATGACAAACTAGACTGTCAGACTTATGGTACTGGTCACATTTATCTGTTTTGGGCTCGCAGTCCCTCTGCCAGGTGACTGATGTCATCTCGTGTCGTGACAAGATGACATTAGTGCTAACGTTCTGGTGCGTAGTTGCTAACCGAGCACCGGCCTCTTTTATCTCCCTCTCGTGTGAATACAAGCTTTGATGTTATTCTAAATATTGAATGACCGCCTCTGTAGTGGTCTACTTTTAGAAAGTTACATGCTGAAATAAGACTTTTTAATCGACGTGTGACCAAAGTCTGTTTAAGCTTCTCATATTGGTTGTATTGTCTCCGTTTTAGCCACATTTTGCAGGTTTCTTATGCTTGTGTGAAATAAACAAACAGATAATTTTGTTCATGTAATTATTAAGGGACAATCCTACATAATTAGAGTTTCCATAAGGTCTGTATATGAAAATATAGGGAAAACACACATAAACTCAAAGGAAAACGTATGTATCTTGACTGCGCTGACATGTTTCACAAATATAACACACATATCAAAGTGTAGTCACAGCCTGCTGCTTCATGGTACTCGGTGAAGCTGCTGTGAGGTGGCATTGATATCTAAAAAGACAATATGGCTAAACATTTATACTTTTCTTCAAATATTTAGGTTCATTTCAGCTCATTCACTGAGCTGAGCATGTGTACAGACTCATATGGATGCTGTGCTATCCTATGTCATGGTACTTAATGGGCAGGCTTTCATAAATAGACATGTGCATGGGAGAAGAGAGAGTATATTTCTGAGTCAGTATTGAGCCAAAAAATAACATTATAACTACTGTTAGTAGCCCTTAGTCTTTTTATATGTCGCTGAATCAAAACAAAATAATCCACATCACTGAATTACTAAATTGATTTAACAGTAAATAACATTCACAGTAAAAATAAACAAATATATGCAATCTGGAAGTATATTAAAAACTACTATAAGGTCATAAACGAACAAAATCACTTATGTTACCATTTATAGCTTGAAAATGCCTATAAGTTAAATTTCCTGTGGTAACATCCAATATATTATTGACTACTATTGTCATTTATGATAAGGATTCGTTTTAGAGTTAACACAAGTATGGTTCACTAGACTGGTGTATGTCTAAAAATGGATTTCAGGAAGAGCACTGCTGATTGATCAGATGCAATAACATCCCTATTTGTCACATTGTCGGATCTTTGTTAGGAGAAATTCAAATTTTATTTGTCACACACATAACTGTACACAGTACGACATGTGGTGAAATGCTTATAACGCTGTTCGATATCCGACCATTAAATGACAGTAAGAATTGACAATAAGATCTACAGATTTACAGATACTACAATATTTACAGATTTTAACTTAGAACTTTACAGTAAACAGAATGTGCAAATAAACACAGTGCATGCAGTGATGTGATGTGTGAGAGTCCAGTCCTACACCGGGTTCAGGGCCCGAATAGCCCGGGGGAAGAAGCTCCTCCTCATTCTCTGTTTTATCCATGTAGTTTTACAACTTCACAGTGAGGCATGAGAAAGCCAGTTTTGATGTCAGTTTAAGATAACATTTAGTTAGCATTTAAGCTTCCTTGCCCTATAAAGGGTTAAGACAGAGCACTAATTATGTCGCATAGCCCTCAGCCCTATCCTTATTGTCGTGTTCTTCAGATTAGCTTAGGGTTGAGAGTTAGCAGTGCAAAAATATTAATACTTATCAAAATGTTCCTGAGCATTGCTAGAAATGTGTAAGTGTTAATATGAAAAAAATGTAGTGTGAAAACGTCAATACAAAAGTTAATGGGTGTACATTTGTTTATGACTGTACAAATTTTGGAAAAGCTACCGAATGAATGTTTAGTTGATTTCCTTTAGTTATTTTTAATATAATATCTATTAAAAAAAAGTTGAATCTTCAGTGTTGTCGGCCAGTCTTTCTGAAAGAGTTACAGTGGGTTTCACACATGCCCCGAAGGCCTGAATTTTTCGAGGCATCACCTGGAGAGGCAGTATGTGATAGACCAGCATGTGTCCAGATCAGTCAGACTCAACATTAAACAGACTTCATTCTGCCAGCTCTACACTACAAAGCCTGCGTGTGAATAGAGCAGGTACTGCAAGGGAGTCCTACCCTCTGCATCCTTACCCAGCATCCCTAAACCACTTTTCAAGAAGTGAAGACATGACTGACACAAAGGTCTCTTACAGTGTGTTAATTAAATGTGTCATTCAATCAGCAGATTTCACTAAAGAATGAAGGTTGTTTACAGCCTAGGAACTGAGACCTTGGTTGGACAGGCAGAGCTGCTGTAAACATTGCCCACAATGTCATCATCGCAACCATGAAGTGCAATTTACAGAACTGTGTCGCTGGCATGACTGTCCATGTGCACTTTTATCACTCGCTCTCTGCCTGCACAAAATCTTCTCCAACCGACTGCAGCAAATCAGCCGTTTTCTCTCAGTGATTTCCCTCGATTGGCCCTTCATTATATAATTCATTTATCCCTTGTGAACCGAATGAATAGCACTATAGCAACCGACCTTAAACACTGAAATGGAGACTGTCGGCTTAACGCAAACCACACATAGAAAGAACCTCGTGTCCTCTCCTGTTCTTTATAAATATGTGCTATTTAAATAAAAACAAGTTGACTAGAGTATATTTCTGCCACACTTGTATTTTTGCCTCACATCAACCCAAGGAAGCATCTGTGTAGTATAGTAAAGCACAGGTTCGCACCCTGTGGTGCTGAACTGAGCAAAAAGAAGTATGGCAGGTAAATTGTAGCAGAGCTGTGTAGGCTGTTTATGCAGAGCTTCGTGCCATGATGTGAACTCGCTGTTTGATGTAATATTTATGAAGTTTCAACACCCCCCCCCCCCCCTTCTCCTCGTCAGCAGAGCAGTAGGTGTTGCTCAAAGCCTCAGATGTTTGTCTTCCTGAGAGCCGATCACAGAAGAGGAAACTTTACAGATTGAAAGCTGGAAAAAGACGCTTCCCTCTGGGCTGTTATTAATACTGTGTTGGTGGTTACAGCTTTGCAGCAGTGGCTCAGGCAAACATCCAGTCCTGCACTCGAAAATGTAATGTCAAGATAATTTCCTCTGGTCGATGGTAGATGGAAGGAAGGCCAGCAGCTCAGCTTGAACCTTATACGGAGGGGATAAATTGAAAGATAACCGAGAGCTAAGAGTCCTCCTAAAGATTAGTTATCTAAGGTCAACTGTTAGAGCCCACTACATGAACAGTGTTACTGATGAACTAATCACACCCATTAGCTCAGTAAAACTGTCTCCATATTAGCTAAGCTCTTTAATTCCAAACACAGTGACTTGACCTTGAAAAAAAAAAGAACCCAAAAACCAAACAAACCCAAAGCAGAGAGTTGAAATCCTTGCACAGGGCTTATCACCCCCGTTCTCTGTGTGTGTTGTTGATTGTTTTTTCCAGCATGTCTTTTCTGCTAGCAGCATTTAGACTGTGTCGTAAACGTGAAAGTCGGTAAGAGCAGCGCCCGTGCGTTTGATCTGAATGACAGAGTTTGTCTGTGTGTTGATTAAATGCTTTGTTCAGCACAGTAGCTTAAAAAGCTTTGTGAAGAATTCAGGAACAGTGTCAGTCCATGTCTACACGCTTTTTGTTTGTTTTTTTAAAGAAGCAATTATTACCATCTTTAATTGCTGTTGTGATAACCAATATGGCTGTGCGAAACGCTTTCTCAACAAACACACTCCTCCTCTCTCGCTCTCTTTCTTTCTGTCACTCTTCCTGTTTGTGAGAGCAGCGACAGCACACCTGCCTTTTGGTTTGGGGCTTTACTGTCTTACCTTCTTTTATTTACCTTCTTTATTTCCTCCTCCTCTTCCTCCTGTTTTTTGTGCTCCTGTATCTGCTGACCTTGTCCCGTCCCGTCCCAACGCCTGCCTGCCTGCCTGCCTGCCTGCCTGCCTACCTGCCTGCCTGCCTGCCAGAGGGTACAGAAGGCTGCCAAAATCAAGAAAAAGGCGGTGTGTAATAAACGGAACAAAAAGAAAGACCCTTTGGCCACTTTACTTCCACTCTCACCTTTTATTTTTTGACTTCATATTTGCCTGTCTGTGTATCCTTTTCCATTTGTGTCTCAAACACTTGAATGTTCATGCACTGAGTTCAGCAAATCTGTGTCAGGTTTATCTCTGTCCTTCTGTCTGCGGAAAAAGAAATCTGTATCTCCAGAAATATTGTAGAACTCTTTAAAACTAACAATTATATTGTTATTTATTAGGCAAATACCAAAGTGAGTCATTTTATATACCCAAATTTGAGCCGGCCCACTTCTCTGAGATGCCATAAATTATTCAAGCATAACAGTCAAACTAATGTTTTTGTTCAGGAATGCAAGTAAATAACTGTAATTTAGGATTTTAATCAAAATTAAATGATGTGCTTCACTGTGTTTTTCAGTCTTTTGTTTTTTAGTATTAGAAATATGCAGGATTAACCATTACAGAAGCATTAAAATCCTTTGGGTTATAACCAGTACTGTCACTTAGACTGGGTGGTGGGCTAAAAAAATTGTCAAGCACTGTATATGGAAAGAACAAAGAAATAACTGAAATAAATGTGATGCAAATACATCCCACGCACACACATTAGAGACTATTTTTTTTCTTTTATTTCCAGTCATATTGTTATTCGTACATATTGTTATTCTCCAAAACATACCGTAGAGTTAGAGTTAATTTTCTATTGTACTGATACATCAGGGGTATATTTAATGTGTTTTTGTATGTTTTGCACGTCTCATACTGTGACTCATTCAGTGACCCTTTTGCCAATTTCTTACGTAAAATAATTAGGATAAATTGAACCGAGTGAATATTATGTTACATTAGAAAAATGCAAAAGAGATCACTTTAGTGATTAAATCACATTCCCGTATATACAAGATAAGCATTGCCTATAGACAACATTAACATTTACTATTGTAGGGGCTAAAGAGTGCTTTGTTTACCTAGAATATTTATTTTCCTTATATGGAAACAGAGTTGCTTTTATATTAGACTAAACAACCACTGAAACAAAGTAGCGTAACGTGTTACTGACATGAATTATTATCATGAATTTATAATAAGGGGATTCTGTGTCTGAAGCTTCTATCCCATTAAGACTTAATGCTGATTGGCTGTCCTTCTCAAACAGAACAGCAGGTGGGTCGGGCCGCTGTGCTTACAACCCAAGCTTTGTGTCCGAACCGACCATATTATGTGTGTCTCCAAGACACAGTACAGACCAATAGTAACCAATAGTGTCTGAAGCGTTTAGATCAATCTGAAGCCTGAAGATTTTGTCTGTCAGATTTAGTCTGACACTGTTACAGTATAAATATAAGAAAAAATGAGGAAAAGCATAAGAAGTTCCACAGATTAAAAATATTTATGTATTTTTCTACCATAGGTTCAAAAATCTATAATCATTTTAGTCATTAAAGTGATATAACTGGCTTTAATCATGTGTAAGAGTTGTCATTTCTTCTTTCTAACCAAAAACTCTGAAGCTTAAAGGGTTTGCAAGATTTCTAGAAAAAGGTCAGCGAGGCAGCGGTTGTAGCTTCCTCACACATACCAAGACCGGACAAGGAAACAAAGCGTGACATATTGAACAGAAAAATCTTCTACCTCAAGGCCAAATGCAGGCAAATGTAAATCACATGCCAGCCACAACTTATGTTTGCAAAAACTAGTTTGTACCCTAAAGAAAATTAATTACTATTCATTGTATTTTCTGATACTGGATATGGACAGAAACTGATGAACTAATGACAGGTCACAGTCTCCCCCCCACCCCCCACCAAAAAAGGTTTACCGTTTATTGCTTGAAACAAATGTTAACCACGTGTTTTATTTGTCTATGAGATTGCCTTATTTAAGTACATAAGACAGTTTTAATTCAACTAAAACAAGCATAGTTTTATTAGATTTCTGCACCGAGTGATTAGAGGGAAATGTGCACAAGCTTGTTGTGTGCTGAGGCTGCATTACTCTCAGTGGTGTAACAGCCAGCTGGTAGGGGTTTAGTGTTAAGCTGTTTCTTGTTTCCATGCCAGCTCGCCCATCCTCGTGCCAGGACTATTGATGCAAACTAACGCTACTGCCAAACACTTTCTTTTTCTTCCTTTGCCACCTCACCTCTAGACTCAGTAACATGTCCATGTAACAAGGACTTTTCTAACTGGGCACTAAGCTTTGAATGCATGAGTTTTGGCAATTAAAAAAAGGCATTCCCACATTTAAAACAGACACTATTCAGACAGCTGTGTGCACAATGAACAGTCAGGCTTGGCACAAACATCTTAAACAGCCAGACGCAGGTGATTTAACAAACTCTTCTGTCTGTATGTTGCTTCAGAGCGCAGATGGAGACGCCCAAACCCTTACCGAGGTTGATCTGTTTATCTCCACCCAGAGGATCAAAGTCCTCAACGCAGACTCACAGGTAAGTGCTCCATGTTTCTGTTAAAAGTATGATTTTTCACCTGTGAGAACAAAAGCTGTTTTCCCAGAAACTATGAGTCAACGCCTCAGGGGAATGATGTTATGTCATAATTGTCAAAACAACAGCTTAACTGCTGACACCAGCTGCATCCTACAGCTGCCCCAGCTCTGATTGTTGTTTGTTTAATCTCATGACGTCACTCTGTGAATTCTTTTTGACCGTGGCTAAAAATAGATTCTGCAAAGCCAAAAGAAAAAAAAATGGTGCAGGATCATCTGTGCAGCACTGCCTTTACTTTAATGTCACAACAAAGTGGTCCTTTAGAAGTTCGGACCCCAGACTTAATGGATGCACACAGCAAAGTTAATGGCACAATGATGAATAGTATTAGCTGTACAGAAAAGGCAAGAAGCACATAAACAGAGCATCCTAAACACAACAAAACTACAGTGACTAGGAAGAGATCTCAGGTTTGTTGTTTAGCACTCAATAAAAGAATTAACATTACCAAGCTCACCTTTTTTGACTTCAGTGTGGCTACATAGTACAAGGATTCAAAGGTTAACTAAAAATAAATGTAAAAATTAAGTGTAAAAATCGCAAAATCAGTGATACAACAAATGACCATGTAGCAAGTAATTCAATCAGTGTTAGCTAGGTAGTGTGCTAGCAAACTGTTGCTATATATGCTTCTGTAGAGCTAACACGTGCCAACACACCAGCTCCACAAAGCAAAATAAAGCCTTCATAAGACACAATGCAGTCCTGTGAAAAACTGAGTACGGTGTTATTCCCTCCATAGCCAGGTCCCAATAGTCAAATGGGCTTGATCGATTGATCATCAGTAAGTTTGATCACCTCTATAAAGGCTAAAGTGTTGGCAGTTTGTGAGTCTTGCTCATTGAGATTGGGATGCATGGTAACACAAAAAGCCAAACATTCTTCCCAGGAGTGGATTATAAGGCTTTTCAAACAATTTAGTCCATCATTCTACACTAACAAAGATTACATGGAAAACATACATACAGTGGGGCAAAAAAGTATTTAGTCAGCCACCGATTGTGCAAGTTCCCCCACCTAAAATGATGACAGAGGTCAGTAATTTGCACCAGAGGTACACTTCAACTGTGAGAGACAGAATGTGAAAAAAAAATCCATGAATCCACATGGTAGGATTTGTAAAGAATTTATTCGTAAATCAGGGTGGAAAATAAGTATTTGGTCAATAACAAAAATACAACTCAATACTTTGTAACATAACCTTTGTTGGCAATAACAGAGGTCAAACGTTTACTATAGGTCTTTACCAGGTTTGCACACACAGTAGCTGGTATTTTGGCCCATTCCTCCATGCAGATCTTCTCGAGAGCAGTGATGTTTTGGGGCTGTCGCCGAGCAACACGGACTTTCAACTCCCGCCACAGATTTTCTATGGGGTTGAGGTCTGGAGACTGGCTAGGCCACTCCAGGACTTTCAAATGCTTCTTACGGAGCCACTCCTTTGTTGCCCGGGCGGTGTGTTTTGGATCATTGTCATGTTGGAAGACCCAGCCTCGTTTCATCTTCAAAGTTCTCACTGATGGAAGGAGGTTTTGGCTCAAAATCTCACGATACATGGCCCCATTCATTCTGTCCTTAACACGGATCAGTCGTCCTGTCCCCTTGGCAGAAAAACAGCCCCATAGCATGATGTTTCCACCCCCATGCTTCACAGTAGGTATGGTGTTCTTGGGATGCAACTCAGTATTCTTCTCTCCTCCAAACACGACGAGTTGAGTTTATACCAAAAAGTTCTACTTTGGTTTCATCTGACCACATGACATTCTCCCAATCCTCTGCTGTATCATCCATGTGCTCTCTGGCAAACTTCAGACGGGCCTGGACATGCACTGGCTTCAGCAGCGGAACACGTCTGGCACTGCGGGATTTGATTCCCTGCCGTTGTAGTGTGTTACTGATGGTGACCTTTGTTACTTTGGTCCCAGCTCTCTGCAGGTCATTCACCAGGTCCCCCCGTGTGGTTCTGGGATCTTTGCTCACCGTTCTCATGATCATTTTGACCCCACGGGATGAGATCTTGCGTGGAGCCCCAGATCGAGGGAGATTATCAGTGGTCTTGTATGTCTTCCATTTTCTGATGATTGCTCCCACAGTTGATTTTTTCACACCAAGCTGCTTGCCTATTGTAGATTCACTCTTCCCAGTCTGGTGCAGGTCTACAATACTTTTCCTGGTGTCCTTCGAAAGCTCTTTGGTCTTGGCCATGGCGGAGTTTGGAGTCTGACTGTTTGAGGCTGTGGACAGGTGTCTTTTATACAGATGATGAGTTCAAACAGGTGCCATTCATACAGGTAACGAGTGGGGGACAGAAAAGCTTCTTACAGAAGACGTTACAGGTCTGTGAGAGCCAGAGATTTTCCTTGTTTGAGGTGACCAAATACTTATTTTCCACCCTGATTTACGAATAAATTCTTTACAAATCCTACCATGTGGATTCATGGATTTTTTTTTTTCACATTCTGTCTCTCACAGTTGAAGTGTACCTCTGGTGCAAATTACTGACCTCTGTCATCATTTTAAGTGGGGGAACTTGCACAATCGGTGGCTGACTAAATACTTTTTTGCCCCACTGTACATACACACTTGTCCCAGCAAATTCACATGAAGTTCAGACCTGGAATGCTCAGAGAAATTGCAAAAAACACAAAAGTAACATGTTAAGGACCGTAAAGGCCTGAGATAGCAAGTGAAATGTTAAAGTTCATAGCAGTAAAATTAGAAAAAGACTGAACAAATATAGGTTATTTGGAAGGGTTGCTAGCAGAAAGCAACTTCTCTCTAAAAACAACATGGCAGCACAATGTAGGGTTGCAAAGTTGTATCTGAACAAATCACAAGTCCTCTAGAACAATGTCCTGTGAATAGACAGCACCAAAACTGAGACGTTTGGTCATAATGCACAGCACCGCATTTGGTGATTACCTATAATAGCAGGTCAGCATAAGCACGTCATATCAACGGTCAGGCACAGTGGTGAATGGGTGATGATTCGAGCTTGTTTTGCAGCCAAACAACCTCCTGAACCTTCAACCATCAACTGCCGTGTATTATAAAGTATTCTAGAGTCAAATGTGAGGCCGTCTGTCCAACAGCTACAGCTTGGCCTAAACTGGGTTGTGCAACAGGACAATGACCCCAAGCACAGCAGCAAATCTACAACAGCATTGCTTGGAAAAAAAAAAGAAGAATCAAGTTGTCAAAGTCCAGACCTCAACTTGATTGAAATGCTGTGATGGGACCTTAAGAGAGCTTTCCATGAACAATACCCACAAACCTCACGCAACAGAAACAAAATTATAAAAGAAAGGGACAAAATTCCTCCACATTGATGTGAGAAACTGATAATGTCATACAGAAAACAAATACTTGAGATTATTGCTACTACAGCTAAAGCAAATAAGTCATGTCACACTACCCCTCCAGTTTTTTGGTGGAGGGTACAAAAAACATTTTTTGCAGGACTGTATATATTTCAAAAGTATTTTTCTTTTCTGTGGAACACAGAAAATTTCATTTTCACCATCCATCAAGAAGAAGCTCTTATCCTCATACATTTAAGCTCTGAGGCCTCTGCACTTGAAAGCCTCACAGATGGTGAAGCAGCTCTTTATCCTTTTCCAATCATAGCCCTTCTTTCTCAGTTTTGATTCTTCTGACCTTTTCCTCTTTGGCTGTTTCTCCGCCATCTCACCTTCTTGACAATGTGATTATGTTCAGCTGTCCCTCTTGTTCTGCTCCTTTCCCCCATCCTGTCTCCCTCTGTCTTGTTTACACGCACAAACATGCCCAGTTGTTAGTTGTGTTTTGTCCATAACTGACATTTAGTAGATAAGTGTATTAAATCAGGAAGAGTTATTCCACCTCCAACCTTCAAAAATGCCTAAAGTTATAATATAGACTAAATTTTCTTAAATCATCAATCTCTCTGAAACTGGACAAAAAGTCAAAAATTCACCTGGAAGTCTGATTTTATCTGTCGTATTTCTCCACGTTCAAGTTTTTACATGAAACCCTGTCTCTGCACACTTACAGAAACTTGCCTTTTAGCTTTACAACAAGCTGTGTTGTGAAGCAGCCACACTAGTCTTCACAGGAGGTGTAGTGCTTTGATGGAAGCGCTACACTTCCGAGAGATTTGCTGTGCTACAGATCATGAATAGAGCCTTGTGCTCACAGTAACAGTTAAATGTATATGCGATAGATGATTCATTGGCAGTATTTCAGGCTTAGCTGCTGCCTGGCCATCTGAACAGTGTCAGAATTGAGTGTGTTTGTGCGTGCGTGCGTGCGTGCGTGCGTGCGTGTGTGTGTGTGTGTGTGTGGGCAGCCGCCTGGCAGAAAATAACGTGCTGCAATGCGGTCTCTATCTTCCTCTCATTTTTCCATCTGGTTGCCACTGGTCCCAGATTTTAAATAAAAGCCTTTTTGTACACATAAAAGCTCGATGTAGCTTACATGGGGTTCCTGACATTGATTCATAATAAGAACAACTCCAAAGGTGGGCTGGAACAACAGCATTTATTAGGCTGATGTAATAAAAGTCAGCTCATAGTTAATGACATTAAGTAACTGAAATTAAATTTAGCATTTTACCTTAAAACGTCAATGAACAAATGCATGCTCCTCTCAACAAATCCACAGGTTCATGTCTAGAGTCCAGCTTTTCCTCATACATTATAACCCAAGACAATTATTAGGCTGTCTTAACAATCTTTTTTTAATTAATACGAATGCTTAGTTTTTCGTGCACCTATTCATTGCTCTTAGATGAAAATCTACTCAGTGTTTGCTGGGTTGTCATTGAGCTATAATCAGATTATACAGCAGGCTTGAATTCTATCAAAAGTAGGCATGTTTGTTCTCTGTCAGCGATACTTTCATCTCACTTCTCACCCCAAAATGAATGCTGCAGTTTTGATAATGAGAGGAAACAAATATGCTGCTCAGTGGTTCTTTAATTTTCAAATATTATAATAATCAAAGGAAACCAGCTGCTGTCAGAAACAGGATAATTAGTAGTAACTGTTACTGCTTTTCAAATGCATTAGTAGGAAAAAGCTCATTTCCGTAAAGCTTTTTGTCAGTTAAAATGTGTAAATACGAAGACGTTTTCCACTTTTTGTGGGGTTTCTGCATGGATTCGTTGTACATGGGTTGTGTATTTTCTCTTTAGGTGTGTTGTTTAGTGCCACTAGTTTTAAAAACAGCAGTTGGGGAGGATTCATTTCATATTGCGTGGGCATTGTGTTGAGACTGGATGGACTCTAGCTCCTCTGCAGATCAGAATTAGACGAGTGGTTAATAAAATAGATTGCTTGATGAATAGATGGCATTGTGTCAGTATGGCAGTGAAAACAGTATTATCGACTATTAAATATTGACACTGTGAGTGTGACATAGCAAGTCTGTGATTGACCCCAAGGGGGGATTCTTTTCCTATACAGGCAGGCTGGGTAAGTACCAAATTAATATTTACCCATACTCACTAATATCAGGTAATTCCAGGTTTTGATCAGCACCATGGACAGCAGCCACAGTCGGCGGTCACATTTATAGACTCATTTATCTAACTCAAACTGTCTTCGACTAGTCTACCACAAGCCCGAAATAGGTTTGACTTTGCTAAAGTATTATGAAGACAACTGTAATGTATATAAGCATGGAACAATAATAGTGGTAACAATGCTTTACGCTCAGCAAGTCTTTGACAATACCACGTAAATCCAAAGTCCTAGCAGTATACTCACTGTGCCCTCTTCTCTGCTTTCTCGTTTCAGCACAAACTTTTTTTTTTTTTTGCTGTGCTGACAAACTGCTCTGTAAGATAAAAAAAATTAATTGTTGCGTAGTTGATGTCAACAATTTCACGGGCATATAAGTAGTATACATCCCAGCATGTCCCAAGTTTTCAGAAAAGGCCCTTATTTTTAAGTCTGAGGAGTATAAAAGCATTAAAAAAAATATCTGCAGCCTAAATTCAGCTCATAAGGAAAAATATACCTTATAAATAAAGCTACGCTTTGACACACATGATCAAACCGTGACTTAGACATTTGGTGGATCACTTATAATCTGTCCAATGTTAGTTAAAGGCAGCAATGTCATTAGCAAAAGGCGAAACAAACCAGAGACACCTAACTTTCTGCAACTAGAGGAGCCCCCTGCTGACCTTTGGAAAAAATGCAAGTTCACTTTTCAGACCGAGAGGCAACGTTCCTCCTTTTTCAAACAGTCTTTTTAGATATTAATATTAAAAAGGAAAAGTCCACAAATTCAGAATCATTTCTGCTTTCATACTGCTACTGCATGCAGTCATAACAACCATAGCAAAGGATAGATAGATAGGTAGATAACTCTCAGTACAACAACAAAAGTGGCATTCATGCTGAGCAGGTAGTGTTAAACCAACAGCAGCAAGAAAGTGACAAAAAAGAAACAAAAAAATTGCTGTCATACATGTATCATTACAGCCTTGCCTATATTAGCTTATAAACTCAGAAACAGAACAACAGAATGTAGAGCATAATTAAAACATGTGATTTTGGTTGACATCCCAACAGGAAACGATGATGGACAACGCACTCCGCACTATATCCTACATTGCCGACATTGGGAACATTGTTGTCCTGATGGCAAGACGCCGGATGCCACGCACAGCCTCACAGGACTGCATTGAAACTACACCCGGAGCGCCCGAGGCAAAGAAGCAGTACAAAATGATATGCCACGTCTTTGAGTCTGAGGATGTAAGCAGCTCTTAAAGAGTTTTCCGAATGACAAACCCACTGTGCCTCTATGTGTTTATGGGAGAATCGTCTCCAGAGAGTGGGTACACAGATGACAGATGTTATTTTTTTGTCATTATGTAAGAGTTCTCATTTGGCAGATCCTTTAACATCTAAAGATAGTGAAGATGACACTTGCGACTGCCTTTCAAGTGCTATGTGAGTGTCAGAAAATATTTCAGCTTCCCACTTCTCGCTGCTTTTTAACTTCCACAGTTTGACTCCGACACACAGTTTTCTTGCATTTTTTCCCCTGAATTGAGTGTTGTTAAATTATCTCAAATGCTGTCGCTAATATAAAGAAGTTCTAGAAACGTTTTTTGGAGCACCCTGCAGTAATCACTTAGGACAGCCCAGTGATGTGAAATGATGTAAATTGGCTGGGCACTTTTGATTTTGATTTGCTTTCCTCGTTGAAGCAGATTCAGCAGGAGCTGGCAACATGAACAATGTTGCGCAGAGGAGCCAGCGACTCACTTTCTGTGCCAGTCAGTATAAAGGCTGGGCTCCAATCTGCAGCCTCCTCATCTAATTTTGCTGCCAGGCTTTAAAGGCCGCCCAGAGTTATAATGGAACCATTCAGCCGCTCATCCATCAGCTTATAAACAGTTTGTGTTATTGTGGTTCCACTGGCTGTATGTGGTGATTCCTGTCTTTTCTTCTTCTTCTTTTTTATTTTTTATTGTTGTACATAACTAGTTCATGGTGGGACTTGGAGCCATTACTGTCTGCAAAGAGGGATTTATATGCAAGTATAGATTTCAATTAAACAGAGGAAGTATGGTTATATCATTCAAATGTATACAAGGTTTATTATTGCTGTCTGTTGGCTTCCTTAACCTCGATATCACCTGAATGAGAGAGCAGGAAACAGGAAAGTGTGTCTTTTTTCTTAGTGGCGAAATATCGCTTATGACAGAGAAAGTCAGTAGAAACTTAAACACCTTTATATTTATTCCACTACTGGTTGATGCCCTTAGCTCCCTGTGTTGTTATTTATATGCTGCTGGGTTTGCTTTTGTTTACAGCCTGACATTTCTGTCTGCAGGCCCAGCTTATTGCTCAGTCCATCGGCCAGGCTTTCAGCGTAGCTTACCAGGAGTTCCTGAGAGCCAATGGCATTAACCCCGAGGACCTGAGTCAGAAGGAGTACAGTGACATCATCAACACCCAGGAAATGTACAATGATGACCTCATCCACTTCTCCAACTCTGAAAACTGCAAAGAGGTGGGTATACCTCAGAAGGAAGAACTGGGAATAAACAGTGAAAGACTTTGCATGTGGGACGAATCACACTGGCGCTGCAGGGCTATTAGAGAAATGTACTACTATAGTTGCTGTTAGCTAATTAGATTAAGAGGCAGATGGTACAGTAAAATCTACTCCAACAGTGTCAGATCTAGCTTATTTTCGCTGTTGCATTTTTGCTTTAGCTAATGCCGTGCCCTGAAAACATTGCTGGAGGCTTTTGGTGAATTACAAACTGTGAAACGTTTACTGGTTTATGAGCACAGAGGCTGCAGGGGCACCATCACACAGCTGCTGTATTAGGGGCACATGAGTAATTTACAGTAATGAGGAACCTGGGCTTTCTTGAAGTAGTAAAGTTTTCCCACCTTACTAACTGTTCGAAGAATAAAGTCATGTCTTGAGGCTTGGTGTGTAGATGAGTAGTATCAGCTGGTCTGAACAGGAAAACGTATCCGGCATTATGACAGTACTGGAGGATGAGCAAAAGCTGAATCTGAAAAGGTCTGTAAAGTCAAACATGGATGCGATAAATCAATACAGATAAATTATTGGTAGTTCTTTGTTGTTTAAATACATTTTACAACCAAAGTAAATTTGGTTGTAAAATGTCGTTCCTCCTAACAACCTGTCCAACAAGCCAAACCTTTTCAGTCTTTTTTTTTTTGTACTTGCAAAGCAGGTGTTTTTCATACATTGCTATTTGAGACAACCAGTATAAACAGTGCTGACTTGTTTGCTAAAGACAATTCTGTTCTTTGTCAATACATCAAGAAGTTCAAGAATACACTGGCCAGTCACGTTTATATCCATGTCTGTCCAGGCTTGGCCGTTGACCCTTTGGATCTAAAATGTACCACTTTATGATGTTATCCTACTATAAGTTTGTTTTGGAAGAATTAGTGTAAGATTTATTGAGTTCAACATTTAGCACTGTTCAGTTCGCTGAGTCCAAGTGAGCAAATCTGCCAGATTTAAAGAAATTCTCAGCAGTTGGCTCAGATGCATTAAAAAAAGACAGAAAAAGATCAGGGAGATTGTGTTACTGGAGGCATGTAATCCATTATGTACTCCAAATGCAATGATAGGACTTCTTTTGGCATTTTTTAGTATTGTTATTAAGGCTCAGAGGAAATAGGAAGACCACACAGTAATGGAGTAATGGAGAAAACACAATGTCCTTAATTAAATTAGGCTACAAAGTGTCTGCAATGTGGTGAGTGTGTGTAGAGGTATCTGAAAGAAAGAAAGAAAGAAAGAAAGAAAGAAAGAAAGAAAGAAAGAAAGAAAGAAAGAAAGAAAGAAAGAAAGAAAGAAAGAAAGAAAGAAA